GAATAACTAGTGAAGCCATTTTTAGTTTCCTGGTTCAAATAAACAGAAAGAAAAGGAGGAAAACTACGTGGTTTTATTTGAAATTTGTTGTTGAATTTACGTCTTCAATCTACTTGTGAATTCAAGATGAGTTTTTGTTTTACTTTAAAACATCATTTAATTTGTTTCAATGAGGAGTCGTATGGTTTCCTGTTTCATACTTGGGTGTTTTTGAATGATTATGTCTTTTTTAGCATAATATTGGGATTTGATATGTTATTATCAATTGATTGGAATAAGGGTGACATAATAAGGAGATGTGTATATTTTGTAATAAGGGTGACATAATGAGGAGCTGTATACATTTTGTAATAAGGGTCGCATAATCAGGAGCTGAATATATTTTGTAATAAGGGTGACATAATCAGGAGCTGAGTATATTTTGTAATAAGGGTGACATAATCAGGAGCTGTGTATACTAGGATAAGGGTGACATAATCAATTTTCTGGAAATGATGATCTTTTGATCATGGTTTATTGTTATGACATCTATATGATGCAATGAGATTGATTTTATTGCATGTATCTGATGCAATGAAATTGGGTCAAATTCAAAGTATTATTTTAATCGCGTCCTTGAGGTGTGATAAGTGAAAGTTATCGCATCTATATGATGCGAGGAATTATGGTTATCGTATCCTTGGGGTGCAACAAGTTTGTTTATCACACCAGTATGATGCGACACATGTGTTTATTGCATCCTTGTGGTATGACGAGTTGGGGTTATCACATCTGTTGGATGCGACAAGTTGAGGTGATCGCATCTGTTGGATGCGAAAATTGTGTTTATCGCATCAGTGTGATGCGACAAGTGTGTTATCACATCAATGAGATGCGACAAATTGGTGTGCTATGTGTTTAATACGAAAAGTTTGGCATTTCCCTATTGGGTTTGATGCGATAAAAAAAGATTGTCTCACCTATACGATACAACAAATGAAGGTTTGTTAAAATAAATGATAATTGAATATTATCTTTTCAAATATTGACTTTCCCAAAAGTGTTATGGTGATTTTCACCCTGTAATAGCAATCAAGGGAATTATTCACTAGACCTTATGGTTTAACCTTCGTTTTGTTTTAAAAAATGTGCATTACAGGTCGGACACATGTGGAAGGTAAAGAGAAGGAAAAGATGTGAAGAGAATTTTTTAATACTTTACATATGTGGATTTTTGGGAAGCTGAATATGTACATGTTTCATGAAGTTGTGTTATTTAAGTAATGTAATTATATGAGCAAAAAGTTTATAGCTACTTTTGTATGTAGCAATATGCGTACATCTGAGACCAATGTGTATATTTGTATTTCACGTTGTATGGAATATATGTGTTTTATGCAAATGGAAGTTGGGGTGTTACAAAGATTGTAGTGTGTTTGAGAGCACATAACCAAGAAGAAAACATTGTTCAAGGTTTGAGCAGTCAAGTATCAAATTCATAAGTTTCATGTTTATGGTGATTAAATGAACAAATCACAAAGAAGAATTTAGTGCATTTTAGGGCAAATTACTAAGAAAAAAACATTGTTCAATGTTAAAGAATTCATATATCAAATTCATGTAAGTTTTATGTTAACTTCATGATTTAATGTTTGACTAGTAGTGAAGAATGTTAAAAGAATGATTATCATGCAAATAGGGTAGAGATTGAAGCCTTATTACCCTTAATTCAACTAAGAACTGTCAGTTTCTGTGCTACGAATAACATGTAAAGGTTAAATTTTGGACATGTTATATGAATATAGAAATATTTAATCATATAAATGAGTAGATAAACATGTTGAGTGTTTGAGTGCAAGAAAATTGAGTAAAAGTAATGTTGATATTTCCTGATTATGCACATATGTGGAACTAGCAGACTTCCAATACAACAAAAGAGAATTAGAACACACTATATGAAGTCACGTGGTCAAGTCATGAAAATGCAGTGCAAACACGAAGCACGAATGATTGTAGAGAAAGCCACATGCAGTGTATAACTTGGGAAGTAAGTTGTAAGTCTTGTAGGAAGTTGTTAAAGGAAAAACGGGGAGAGTTGGCAAGGTGAGTTAGAATGAAGTCGCCTATAATGAATGGAAGATTAAAAGCAACTTGTAAGTCCCATAAGAAGTTACTAACAGAAAAATGGTGCGAGATAGGATGAAGTCACATCTTGTGAATGCGATACTAAAACCGACTTGTAAGTCGCCTAAACCCTGTGCTAAGTGCCAAGTTGATGAATTCGATATTAATGCATGATAAGTCTATGATAGTGTTTAGTTGTATATTTGACACCTACTCAGTATGTTGTATGTGTATAGGTACAATATCTAGTGAGATTGTCAACCTTACACAATAAGACAATAAAATAAGTTTAACGTGCTTTACTAAATGAGACACATGTCTATGTATGTCCTTATTAGTTTCAAGATGATGTATGAGTGTTATATACTTACATGAAACCAAACTATCAAGCATGCCAATGTGATTTTATATGAAAAGTATGTTACATGATGTGTTTCAGTATATGTGTTGGTTCACATGCCAAGAAGTTCGTAATTATACCATGGGTTGCCTAAAGTGTGAGGACTACTGGTATATGTTTGGCAAGTCGACATAGGTTGTGTCATGCGAGATGAGGTAACCCATACAATACTGTCAGAAAGTTGAGATGTCATGTGATTATATTCTCTTTGTGAGTACAAAAGTATTGTGAAGTGTGTAAATGTTTCAAAGAAAATCCATTTACCAATTATATTATGCATGATGTATGCTGATTTTATATATATAATCTGTGAGATGCTTTACGTGAGAAATTATGGACTCATTAAAGTTATTAGTTAACCAGTTATATATATATATATATATATATAT